CTTACGTGCAATTCAGGCGCACTTTTCTGGCCTAACGTTGCTGATGAGCGGCGGTGTGTCCAAAAGAACTACGAGCGTCGTAAAGTTCATATCCCGGCGCCTGTATGCTGTCCTGTCAGTTTCTAGGGTGCATTGGCCAAGTCCGGTCCAATCTTGCTCTGTCACCCGGACTACCATATGCAAGTACTAGGACTTTGGCTGTTTCCGGTGACAGAGTGACAGAGCTTGTTGCGCAGGGTGTCGTATATTTAGAACTGTGTATAGTGCTTGGAATCGCTTTAGCTTGATATGACGGCAGTGCAATGTAGCGCAGTACAAGTGAGCGTAGTGCCTGAGAGCACAGTGCCCGAAAGCTGGTTGGGAGGCCCGTATATCCAGTGCTCTCTCGTAATAAATTACATCTGCGTAACATCGCAGATCTGTGGATGCAACCTACAGCAATGGTGCATCAACGAGCAGACAGGAAGGTATTCGTATTTTGTAGGGCCTGGTTGGAAGCTGGAGAGTGCTGGTCTCGGTTCGCATGCCGGATAGCGGTATGGTGGAGATTGCGTAATCCATCTCATGATCTGTGGGCCTTATATAGTATTCCCTGTAATCAGCCGTTGCTACACCATGCTATCGAGGTCGCAAGCCCTTGTGTTGCAGAATGAAGCCACATATACAAAGATCAGCACTGCGCCAAAGATGCTGTGAACAGAAACTAAAGCGCGGCATGACATTCGATTCGAGGGTGCTGGGAGTTAGGGAGTTGGTTGCAGGTCGGTTAGATAGACAAAAAGGTCCATTGAAGCTGCTCGACGATCCCAGAATGTCCACAAGCGTATACAATGAGTAATTGAATACACAATTAAGCTCAGACTGTGTGTTGCTGAGACTGTGTGTAGCTCTACACTTGTGACTATAAAAACATGCTGGTGTCGTAGCCCAGTCACCAGATCTTAGAGATAACAAGCCATAGGAACCATGACCCTGTTCAACAAACCCCAGTTTTGGCAGAAGGAGCAACATCGAGAGGAGGTCGTCTCTGTAGAGGATATCTCACTCGAAGATGAACAAGATTCCTCAAAAAACCTAGAACAAGTTCAACTGCCATTCAGCAAATGCTGGGAGCTCTTCTGGCAATGGAAAGCTGCAAAGAAACAACCAAGATCCAAGTTCTTCTTCTGGTATCCTCCAGAGCAATCCAAAGATGAAAGGTATTTGGTTTTCAAATTGGACATGTCCATCATGATCTACGTGTGTTTGGCCTATTTTACAAGATATCTAGACGCACAGAACATATCATCTGCCTACATCTCAGGGATGAAGGAGGACTTAAACATCACTGGTGAACAGTACGTCTGGTTAACACAGCTGTTCTCAGCAGGGTATTGTACTTCTGGTGCAGTGACCACGTTGATCCTAACAAAGGTTCGATTCTCCAGAATGATTCCAATCCTGGAGTTCCTGTGGGGGTTAATGTGTCTGTTGGTCTACAGAGCCGAGAACTTTAGAACAGTTGCCGGCTTGAGGTTTGTACAAGGTGTCTGTGAAGGTGCAGCATGGCCTGCAATTCACTATGCCCTTGGATCATGGTATACGCCAAAGGAACTGGGTAAGAGGACAGGAATATACACAGCATCTGGTATTGCTGGTGTTGTTCTCTCTGGATTGATCCAATCAGGGTTGCAAAAGTCTATGGATGGTAAGAACGGATTGGCCGGCTGGAGATGGCTATTCATCATTGACTCCATTATCACCTTTCCAATCGCAATATTGGGATTCTTTGTATTCCCAGATACCCCGGAGAATGCCAGACCAAGGTTCTACTTGTCCAAAGAGGACATTCAGTTTTGCAAAGAGAGGGTAAAGATCAACGGTGCTGACAGAAAGAACAACTTGGACCTGAGCACTTTCAAGCGTGTCTTCCTCAGCTACCAATGGTACATATTTGTCATTGCCTGGATTCTGTGGTGTTACAGTGGTATCATGTCCGGTTATATGGGTATTGTTCTCAAAGCACTAGGCTATAACATCTACGACAGAAACAATATCCCTACCGGTATCTCAGGTGTGGGAATCGTATCGGGAATCCTCACGGGCTTTATAGTTGATCTCACTGGGAAGAGAATCTACGTGATCACGCTTTGTTTGGTCTTTTGGATTACGGGACTGTCCATTATCAAGGCCTATGACGTCCCAAGGGGCGTGTTTATTATGGGATACATGTTCTGTGGTGTATCATCTGCTGTATCCCCTATCATCGTCGGCTGGTGCAATGAGCTGTGTCGTGAGGATAACCAGAAGAGGGCAGCAACAATTGGTAGCTTGAACTTGTTTGGTGGACTGCTAAGTATACCTTTTAGCGTTAAGCTGTTCAACGCTGATTTCGCTCCAAAGTTTACAAAGGGCTCTCTGGCATGTCTGATAACCTCGGTACTCTTACTGTTCCACCTGTTCATCATCTTGTTCTTCGACCGCTACCAACAACGGAAGAGAGAGTACATCTCTGAGAGTTACAACGATGAGAAAAGTGACGTTATAAGCACTAAGCCGGCGTAAACAATCATACTAATACATTCGATTCACTTGAATATGGTCAGATGGGTCTTCTTGTTGTGTCGTACCTCCATTCGTTTGAACTTGCCGCTGTGGTTCTGGATTAGCCGCTGGTGTTTCTTCTTCAGGCTGAGGACGTCGTCGGATGGCCCCAACAAGAGTCTTCCGAATCTTTGTTGGACACCCTCTGGAATTTCTGCCTTTAATGTTCAATCTTTTTGTTCTTTGCCATTCTTCTGTGATGTTTTTAATTCTGTGTATAAAGCTGTACTGGTTTTGTGTCATTTTGTGTTGATAAGAATTCAAAATGTAAACAATGCAGCGGAAATTGAAAACATCCTTACATTTTTACGACTGCTAGGCAACGACGAGCTAGAATTATATACAAGAACACATATGGTGTGGACCATTTTGGAAACCCCACTGATTTAATCAAGTTAACAGTCGGTGTATATGACAATATAGATCAGTTCTACGGTGTGACAGCTCCAGTTTTCCCAAATTTTGTTTCGTTGCTGAGATATAAGCAAATCTATGTGTTTTTCTTGATTATACCATACAAATCATGAATGGTTATATCTCAGAAAGTTTTGAAGATAACATGATCATACTTTGTCTATCTCTTAACTAGAGTAAGGGCTACGTTGTGGTATAATTTGGGGAAATTTGAAGGGGAATTGCTATTTTTATTAGTATCATTCTAATAATGGTCGGATGAGGAACATGCAAGGCAGTGCAATAGTGCGCAGTAACAAACCCCCTTTCTGGGAAAGTTTCAGAGCTCCCGAAGGCTTACACCCATTCCATGGATGAGTGGCCATGGTTACGTACGAATGAGATACCACCTGTTTGTGCTGGTTCATGGGTAAGCCACACCTTCTTCGGTGTCTGTGTTGACAGCGTACTAACCATTTAACACAGACTTTGGGGTAACAAATCCCATTTTGACTATATTGCGCAAGAGCTTGAGAAGCACCGCAGTCAATGCGACCAGGAGATTGTGATCTACAAGGCCGAGAACAATGAGGGTTATAGAACATTGGACGGTATTGATGTGTGTGGTCTTCGCATCGTCAGGGAGATTCACGGCAAGATTGCAGCTTTGAAGGAGACCGGTGACGTTGTAAAGATCTCCATTGTTGGGTATTCGCTCGGTGGGTTGATATCGAGATATGTCATTGGTATTCTCTACCACCAAGGGCTGTTCAAGGAGATTGAGCCTGTGAATTTCACCACGTTTTGCACGCCTCATGTTGGTGCTATGGCACCAGGTTCGAACATCTCTGTGAGGGCCTTCAACTGGCTGGTGCCAAACCTGTTATCCCTCTCAGGTCGACAAATGTTCTTGAAGGACAACACCGGTAAGGAAGGTCCGCTGTTAGAACTCATGGCTAATAAGAACTCGGTTTTCTACAGGGCATTACAACAGTTCAAGACTAGAATCCTATACGCCAACGCCATCAATGATAAGCGTACCGCATGGTGGACCTCTGGCATATCAATCGTTGACCCCTTCATCAACATTGATGAGAGCTCATCGCTGAGCGATTTGGACTATAAGTACGTTGAATCGTTTGCTCCAGTCGTTCTAGATGCGCATGCTGATTTCAAGATCTCCAATAGACCGGTATCGTCTCAAACTGTTCCCGAGCAACCTTCAAACTATTGGAGTAGAAAATACAGGTGGCTTGTAGTGGCACTGAATTTGACCTTTGTGATGCCATTGTGGGTACTGTGGTTTATCATCTCTGGTGTTATGGAGTCATTGAAGTCGTCTGTTCGTATTAGGCGTGTTATGAGGGAGAACAATGCCTACTTCATGGACTTAACAAACCTGCTGGAACCTGACACGGATGAGGCCACCAATGACGGCTCTGACATCGAGAGCATTGCGGATAAACTGGACCACGACATGGAGGATGCCATTCACGACCGTGTGGATACTCTGATTGAGTCCGTTTGGGATGCAATGACCTCCAAGGATGAGGAGCAAACTGCACAGCTCTCCAAGTTTCACATCATGCAATCTACAGAGCCATATTCGTCCTCTACAACATCCAAGAATGAGCAGAACTACGTCTCCGTGTCGATTAGTGATCTCTCGTATTTCAGCAAGGATTCTCCAATGGCACGCAACCAGATCGTGAAGCTATATACGCTGGAACTGAGCCCTTCGCAGGTGGAAATCGTGAAAAACCTCAACGCTCTCGATTGGAACAAATTCCCCATTTTGATTCGTCACACAACGTCAACTCATTCAGCTGCCATTGTGCGTAACATCAACGACCCTCAATTGCGCGAGGGTAAAGTCGTCGTTAAGCACTGGCTCGAGAACGCCGTTCAACTGTAAGCTGGCCCCCATTCCTCCCCTGTGTTTTCTTCTTTATAAATCTTTATACTTATAAACGTTGTGAAGTGTTGAAGCCCGTCGCTATACCTGTGTGTCCCGTACCATAAAAATCCTTCGACCGCTGGTGAAAAATCGCCGACTCTGTTGAACTCGTTGAAGACGCTGAAAGGAGGAAGCTGAAAGCAGGAGAACAACGCTCAAGCATGTCAGAATTTGGAAAGCTTTTCAAGTCGAGCCGTTTCGCCTCGTTGGCTAAACCGTTGTCCAAGTCTCGTGGTGCGCTTTTCCCAACTCATCAAGTTGTTGAGACGAGAGACGCTGCCTTGTCAAGACAGGAATGGGGTCTTAAGTATGCCTTACCTCAGAAGTTGAAGTCCCGTTATATCGTCTTGAACGACTTCGACAGTCTCGAGCGTATTGTGGACTTCGAGGCCGGTGGAGGCGACCACTACAGAAGGCTGAGATTCCAAGAGCTCGGCATCGTACCAGAGAGAGACACCAAGGACTCCCAGTTCACGTCAAAGCCAAACCCTCTGTTCCAAGATTCCAACATCTCAGCCTCTAAGAAGATTGAGACCGTGCTGGAGGTGAGACCGGACTGTAAGAAGAAGAAGCTGGACTCGGTCATCATCGAACTGGAAGAGTTGAGACCTGAATTCAAAGAATACGTGTTGAAGAACCATCCAAAGGAGCTCAAGGAGAAGGGACTCACTGGAGATAGATTCCAAGACGTGGCTGCTGCGTTCCTGAAAGAGCACAGACTGAAGACGGACACCAACAAGATTGCAAGTTTGAAGAGAAAGGATGATTTCAAGTTTGCAGGAACCGGTGGGCTGAGTTATGCCTTGAAAGGACGTCTTAGAACGACGCCTAACGGTGTTGTTCACCGTGAAGCTGCGCCAGCTAGATACGTTGGCTCAAGATTTGCCCTTGGTGGATTCGTCGCTGAGGGCTCCTTCAAGAACGCAGCCATCGACAGAACCACCGTCTTGGCTGTGAGTCCTACCCGTGCCACCATCAAGGCTAACGGTGCCGTTTCCATTGACGTTGCACCTCTTACAAGTACTGGCAGGGACATCATATCAAAGACCACCAGTGGTCGTAGAGTCCTTGGTAAATCCGCAAAGAAGGATAACGACAGTCAGACAATGGCTGCACTCAATAACATCTTCCGTTGATGGAGTCAGCTGTGCATGTACATATACAATTAAAAGAGAAAGAATATACATAGTTCTTATTTATCGAATAAATAGAGAGACAGAAAGACTGCTATCTAGAACAAAACACCCTTTGTTGAGGGAACATCATTGGTGCCGTTACTGGAGATGGATTCCTTAATGGCGATGGCCAGGGCCTTGAATGCGGATTCAGCTCTGTGATGGTCGTTGAAGCCTCTCAAACAGTCAACATGCATCGTGATATGAGCTGCTTGAGCAAAACTCTCCAAGAAGTGAGGAATCATCTCACATGACAAGTCACCGATCTTTTCCCTCTTGAGTCCCAGCTCAACAACGGCAAACGGACGGTTACTCAGATCAACAACGGCTCTGCTCAGAGCCTCGTCCAATGGAGCAAACCCGCTACCAAATCTCTTGACACCTCTTATATGGCCCAAGGCCTCCTTGAAGGCGCCTCCCAGCGCAATACCAACGTCCTCGGTGGTGTGGTGGTCGTCAATGTGCAAATCACCAATACACTCCACAATCAAACTCCACCCACCATGCTTCGCAAGAGCATGGATCATGTGGTCCAGGAATCCAACGCCCGTGTTGATTGAAATCACCTGAGAAGAGGTGACTTGAGTAGCATCGTCGTACTTCTTATCCTTGAAGATTGACTCCGGAACCGTTACGTATCCACCATCCAAACTCAAGGAAATCTGGATCTTCGTTTCGTTTGTTGTACGATTCACAAGAGCTCTTCTCTGGGGTTTCACCCCGTTCGTTTCAGCCATTTCTCTATCCTTCTTCTCAATACTCAATGAGAATATGAGTCTTAAATACGATGGTGATGACTCTTCGCTTCCGATGGCCACGCACCCCGGAAGTGGCACATTCCGAGGGACATTCCAAGAGCGATGAGTCGTGTGCGGTCCGGATGTTTTTTTTTGGCGCACTGTTGTTCTTCGACTCTTTTTAGCACACAAGATGGTTAATACTCGTTGAATTTGTATCGTTTGCCTGTGCGATTGGGAGGTTCATACGATGCTAAAGAGACAGTTCACCACGAGTGCTTCTCTGTTGAAGAATGTCCGTCCTGCTGTGAAGGTTTCAGAGAAGAAGGGTCCACAGTCAGTGGGGAAAAACCTACCGTTTAAGAAGTCTGAAAAGGCGTGGGATAAAGCAGGTGAGTCCAAAGATGAGTACTTCAGAAAGAGATTTGCCCATATCCATGCGAAGCAGAAGTCCAACGACACTGTCCAAAGAAGAGAACGATTCCAAGAACAGAGAGATGACAAAAGGAGGGAAGCCAGGGACCATTTGAAGACCGAGAGACATAACCATAAGAACAAATTCTACAAAGATGTGTATCAAAGCTTGAAGCCGAACCCGCTATCTGAGTATGTCTATGGAAGATCTCCTGTGTTAGCAGTTCTTCAGCAACGGAAGAGGTCGTTTTTGAATAAATTGTTTGTGGAGAGGGCACCGTCCAAGGATAGCGAGATTGTTCAAATCGCTAAGAACTTGGGAGTCGATATTGTCGTTGCAAAGAGTAAACACGAGTTGAACCTGTTATCAAATAACGGTGTACATAACGGCTATGTGTTGGAGACCAAGCCATTGCTACCAACTCAGGTTTTCGAACTTGGCAAAGTCCAAGGAAAGAGCTACGCCATTGAAGAAGACGATTTCGGCTCCAAATCTATTCAAACGCATGAGACTTCAAATAAGAACCCATTTGGCCTATACCTCGATGGTATCACCGATCCTCATAACGTTGGTGCCATAATCAGATCTGCATACTTTCTAGGTGTGGATTTTATAGTGATGTCTGATAAGAACAGTGCCCCACTCTCACCAGTTGCTTGTAAAACTTCAGTGGGTGCTACGGAGTTCATTCCTATATACTCGGTTACGAAACCATTACAATTCTTCGATAAGAGCAGAAGCAATGGGTGGACTTTTGTCTCTGCAGCCACTGCTGAGCATAAAACTGATGAGAAGATATTCTCAACGTTACAGTCTAAGACCGTGCCGTTCAACGCTATTCATTCATTGCTTGAAGAAGGTCCGTGTATTCTCGTCTTAGGATCCGAAGGTGAAGGTATTAGAACCACTCTCAAGTTGAGAAGTGATTTCCTTGTGGCTATCGAGAGTGCACCCGGGGTGGACTTACTTATTGACAGTCTAAACGTCAGTGTTGCTGGTGCACTGATAATTAACAAGATGTTGAATAACTGAGGAAAACGGAGACTGTTGAATATTTCATTCATATGAACAAATAATGTGTTTTATACCTGTATATAGCTACTAATATGAATGATATCGTGATACAAACCACGACTAATTTCCATCTCATTACGCGTAGTGGCATGATTGTCCTATATAGCTTTGGCAATTCCTACCAAACATGAATTCATCGATACAATTCAGATTCACAATTTAATACTGATTATTACTCATGAGTGCTAAGCTCTATAAACCTGGCCATTATGACCTAACTGTTTTGTAATATTACCTACAAGCGGATAATCTTTATGCGTAATCAAAGATGTGCGATTTTTCAGTTGTCCCAGATTGGCATTATACACAATTGGGCGCCCAGTGCAAAGTAATTCACCAAATAGCCATATATAATATTGAATCAACGAGTATAAAAACATATCACCAGAAGTAATTATATAATAAGTAATGAATTCAATATTTTATGGGAATTGAGTCGCTTTTGTTGATACTCTGAAAATAATAATATTAACTTCCTTTTTACCTCATAAAATTTAATAACTTTTGCATAAAATCAAATTCTTCTAATTTAAATTAAAAATGAGTCTATAACAATTCAATAATGTAAAACAAAGCATTCTAGCTATAAAATGCCAATCAATCTAAGGGATATTTGATGATAACTATGTATTTTATTTAATTATGACTGCCCCATATATCATCACCTTACAATATTTGCTTGTATCAACAGGTCTGGTTCACTCAAAACTACATGGTTTCTATGGGATTTTAACTTAGTACGGCTTGAGTGGGTTGTTGATAAGGCTTATTATATATTCCTTTGAGCGGGACTAACATTGCCAATTGATGGAAAACTAGTGTAGCAAGATCCATTTGGTGAATTTGTTTTAAATTACAGGCAATAATCAATAAGATGGAATGAAGTCAAGAAAGACTTGTTTAGCGAAATTACTAATCACTATAGAACACCATCAAAAACAAACAAACAGTCAAAAAAACAAATAATGCTAGATCATGGGCTTCGTATTTAGCCATATAGACATAGGCACAATAAGGGTTAGAAGAACCACCATCAACAAATTCAACCCGTTTCAATTTTGGAATATTAACACAAGGGGAAGATTAAACTGTCATTTGTTGATCATTATCGGCACTATCATGGTGTTCAACACCGTCATAAAAGACTTCATCTAATGGTGCAACATCTTCTTCGTTATCGCTGGTTTCCTGGTTTAGGATTTCATCCTCGCTATTACCAAGAATAATTGCACTTGGATTCAAAAAGTCGCCCTGTTGGAACTCGTCGGTCTTAATCCCTCCAAGAACACAGTTGTACTGTTCTCTGGTTTCAGTTAATACATTAGTAACATATGAAACCCAAGATGGTTCAACCAGTTTGGAGTAGATCAAATCATCAATCTCAGGGTCGTTGAACTTGTTGTTCTGGAAAATGGAAGAGAACTTGACAACTTCCTCTGCGATAAGAACTAGATGACCCATATAGCCTAAACGGACGTTTGATGTAACTTCGATATCCAAGCAGAGGTTGTATGCATTGATTATGAGATTGGTGATGTCACATTTGTCGAAAAGTTCAAGGATCAAGAACTGGTTATACCCCTGATCTATGCGACCATTGAACACTTGTTGTACAATGTCAAAAACAACGTTATGCCAAAAGTTATTCCAAGGGTATTTGGTGAACATTTCAATGATTGTATCTAGAACTGAAGACTTCACCAATTGAATCTTGAAATAGTCACCAATAGTTGGGTTGGCATGAATTTCATCTCTCTTACCAACAACTTTAGAGTCGGATATTTGATCTGCAAGGGGTAATTCACCGCTTTGAAGGGGTTCCGATCCAGCAGTTGGGTTCGAATGAGGGGGTATTGTGATGTGCTTCTCATTCACAGCCACAACCGGTTCAGAAGTTCCAATATTCAAGTTTGACAAGTTGAGACTGTTATTTCCCTTGGCTGCTGTTGTGTTTGGGTGATTCGTTATATCGTCATTTAGTGCGTTAGCCAAGTTAGACTCTTGTTCAAGGATTATTCGTTCACGTTCAGCAACCACACTCGGTGTTAAATGGTTGTTTAAAAGTTGTATGTTTGAACAATGCAAGAGTTCTGCAACCAACTCACAAATTTTAAATCTTTCAAACCCCAAAGGTTCGATATCTTTGTTGATCTGTGTTTTTATTCTCTTGGAAGTAAGCTTTGGATCAACCAGTATACTGTTGAAGTCATCTAATCTATCGGAGAATTTGTTCAACATCTTACCCAAGAAAACTGGATCCCTTGTACTTGGTGGATGAGATTCCACGGATGTATATATGATATTGAAAGGGTCATAGTCCGAGTTGTTTTTTCTAATTATTTCAATAACAACACCGACAATTGTACTCAGTCCGTTTCCTCTCTTCAAGATGATTCTAATGATCTGGTCGACGCGTGCATCATCCACCAGTTCTCTAGTCAACATGTTTGGACCTATTGTGTTTTCATCAATTGATGTGTTTGCACTTATAGAGATCAATGCCTTCAAGAAATCACCGCATGATGACTGTGTCGAAGTATCTGAATCATTCTCCAGCAGGTCAAGTAACTTCTTAACAAGTCTCTGTTCTGATAGGATTTCAATAATGCCGCTCGGTATGTCGGTCTTATCGGTGGTAATAATCCTCAAGAGGAAATCCATAATGATTGTGATATCAATGTGCCTTATGAATCTATCGACCAAATTATCCTGTGACCTTATAAAGTTCAACATTTGGTCTGGTCTTGATTCCAACAACTGTTCATTAATCTTGACAAAGAATTGAATGGTTGGACATGAAGGGCTGAAGTCTTCGTCTAGAAATGTCCACAATTTTGACAACAGTGGAGTCTCTTCAACAAGAGTTTCAGAGACAAGCCATATCTTACATGACAATATTTCCGATGCAACATGGACTCTATTGGCAATATGGTTGATATCTTCATTCTCTTCCAATTCATCAGCATATGAGTTTGAAGGATGGAAGTATTGTTCGTTATTTGTGAACCATTCAGTCGAACTGACAACCAATGTTACTAGGATATCCATAACAGACGTGCCCGTTTGCTTTGTTGCAGTTGTAGCATTGACATTTTCAGAGTGTTCAGCCGTTGTGGTGAGTGGCGTTTCAACTTGTAAATCGTTGTCTTCATCAATGACACCTTCCTCGTTCTCATCTATGTACCCAAAGCATATGAAGTCAACGAGCTTATTGTTCTGTCTGTTAATCTCGTTCAACACACTGGGATCATCCAAGATGCTATATACAAACTCCCTATTGATTGTCAGCTCACCAATGGGCTTTGCCGTTTCGTTCTCATTGTTTAGCGTCTCTGTAGAGTCAGACTGTTGTTGTTGCTGAGTTGGCGTTCTCTTGATGTAGTACGCATCCAACAGGGCATTGAGCGACGTTGCAGAGTTCGCAGTTTGTCCAAAGGGCCAAAACGACATCGTCTTGTAACGTGAAGAAACAGTGTGTACGTTCTGGTGGTTGTGGTGGTGGGCGGTCTCCCGAGTTGTATGTACAAGAAAAGGATCAATTCAGGCCGTAGAGCAGTTAAAAAACAAAGCAAGACAAATAAGAATCCAGCAAGAGTAAACGGGACGATTTATGAAGTGCTTGTATGCTTTTGTTTCTCTTGTAGTTTGTATATTTTGTTGCTGAATTCTTCTCGTTGCTTCGTTTGGATAGTGTTTTTCTTTTATTACCCCGTGATGGCGTCTCTTGGTTCAAGTCCCACTTTACCACTTTTGCAACGATTTAGAACCACAAAAACAGGGGGAAGAAAATTACACAAACAAACCACAAACAGAAAATAAACAAAACACAGACACAAAACCGGAGAAACACAAACGAATTAACGAATCAACGGAACTAATTTATGTGCAATTTTTTCCAGTTGTTTGTTATAAATTTCCCAATTGGGGGTTTCGGGAGGAGTGAGCGTGTGTGTGTAGGTGAGGAGAGAAGAGAGAGGAAAAATAGCGCTAAATTGAGAAAGCGTTTACTGGTTTTTTCAGTTTTTCAGTTTTTCCTGTATTTCCAATCACAGGCGTTCGATTCGGCTTTAGATGGTGGGCCAGCACCGAATGGCGGCAGGTGTTGGGCTGGAGCAGGCAAATAGTTAGGCAGGCTAGAAATGGCGAAAACACACACGCACATTTTCTCCGGGCAGCATGGAACCACAGACTAGGACAATTGGCTTACACAGGGGAGACATTGGTGTGGTTATACGTTGATTAATCATTGGAGCACGGTGTGATGTTATGACTATGGTGTGATGCTGTGGTGGCCTAGCATGGACATGTGGTGTCCTAGCATGGACATGTGGTGTCCGGGTGTAGATTGTGCCTCGTATACAGGCGGGAATGAAAATAAAAACAGCGGCAAAAAAATCACTAAACTTACAGCACAAAAATGGCCTTGTTTGGTATCGCAGTATTGTTTTAGACCTGGGTTGTCAATACGAAGCCCTCCATCAATTATCGGAAACAACGGAGAATAAAAGGATGGTTTGTCCCAATATCAAAAGACTAGTGGTCTGGTCGACGTTGGTCTTTGTGCTGGCGAGATTTGTGGACTTTTCATCGAGTGAGTTCGACCCAGTGCGCTCACAATGGACCGGCTCTGTTGAGTACCTCACGTCAAATAAAATCTACGGAGAGTATATCCAGCCTATCAATGAAAAGGTCAACCCATACGTTACAGAGCTCAGTGATAACTACGTTAGACCTTCAATTTCAAAAGTTACTGCGATCACCTCTGATAAATATAAGGTTTACCTATCCAACTACGTGGCACTTGCATGCGCAAAGTTCACAAGTTCACCTGTTTATGACTTTTGGATTGAGCAGAAACCAAGATTGGACTCGTTCTATGCTAAATCATTGGTGTCTTTTGATAAGTTGAGAGCATTGACGACCAGATACATTGCAATTTTTGTCATCGAGTCTCAACGTGTGTTGAAATTGGCTGCTGGGAAATCGTGCCAATGTTCTTGTGCTGCGAAGAAGTACATCCACGACGCTTATGTTACGCTGAAACCACAAGCTTGTGCCTTCTACAAGTCTAAGGTTGTGCCAGTTTCCAAAGAGGCATGGTCCCAAACTTTGAAATATACTCGTGTTGCTTACGAACAGTCTAAACAGTTTTACATTTCCACTGCTCAACCGCTTTTGGAAAAGTATGTCTATGCTCATGTTAGACCGCTCTACGTCAAATATTTGGCTGGTTATGTTGATAAGTTAACACAACTTCTGGTGAAGTATTACACATTGTTCAGATTGAACGATGCCCTAAATGCTTCAAAGAAACTCATCTCCGGTTCTTATGACCAGGCGCTGGTGTATTTCAACAAGGACAGTTATATCCCAACGGAAATTGAACCAACTACTTCGTTTGAAGAGGACTTACCAACAGACACCGACATTGATTTCGAAGCGGCTGAAACTGTTCGTGTGACTGATGATAGCGAAGACGAGATTGAACCTGAAGCTGCTACCACCGACGACGAGGTTCCACTACCACAAGAAACTCCTGTGGTTGAAGGTGTCACTGAAGAGAAGGACTTGAAAGAACTTGACAGAACGAAAAGTACCGATGAGGAGGATAATGCAGTTGTATTGAGTCTTGCAGAGGAAATCTCTGAGTGGAAGCGTTTCATCGTTGAATCTGTCCAAAACATCTTTAAGAACTTTGATACGACAATTTCAACCATGGAATCTGAGCAGATTGAAGAATTCCAACCAAAGTTGTCAAAGGCGCTCCAAGATATGACCACCAAGGCACAGTTGAATTTCCAAGAAATCAACAAAGCCATCTACAACATTGATTCCAAGACCGTTCTCTTGGATAACGGTGATGAAGCTGAAGTTGACAGAAACGGCAATATCATTGATCACAAGATTACAAGACAAGAAATCCGTGATATCTTGGCTGAAAAGAAGGACTTCTTGAAAGAGCGTGCAGATGCAATCAATATTCTATTGAGATCTTTTGTTTCTGGTCTTGAAGCTCAAGCTGAGGAGGAGAGAACTATGATTGTTGACGTATATGAAGAATTTGCCGAAGTTGCGATCAACGAGTTTAGCAAGAAGATGATGTACTCTAGCTTTGCTTCAAGCTTTGACAACTTACAAAAGGGCGGAGATGGCGAAAATGTTCGTGACTGGAAGGATTACCTCAAGATTAAGAAAGATCTCATTTCAAACAGAGATGTTCTCATAGATAAGGCTGTGGAATTCCCATTAGTGGAAAAACTCTTGAGTGAAATTTACCAAACAATGAAGACGCTTGAACAAGAGAATGGTAGTTACTTTGCCATTTTGAGAGCCCAAGCCAATTTGGCATTCCAAGAACGTGAGCAACACGAACGTGAAGTTTCACAGCATTTGGAAGAAGACGAGGACTACACGATCACTAGTACTGTTATCAAGTACCAAACCATTAATGTTGATGGTGAGGTAGAGACCAATTCTGCTGTTGTTGATGAGGAGTTGGAGCAAGACGTGAGTGATAATGAGAG